GGCCGCCTCAAGAGTCGCAGTAAGAGAGAGAGGGAAGCAGGGAGGGATGTGCAGGGCTGAATGAGTGATGCCTCTGCTCATAACCACATCCTGCTGGTCCTGCCTCCTCACCAGGATTTAATTCCCAGTAGCTTCCCCAGCCCTTAGGAGCCCAGCTGGGAAGATACCTTGAACTGTCGTAGGTCCCAGACTTTGAGGGCTCCATCATCCCCACCGCTGAGCAAGAAGGGTTCCCTGTGGCTCCAGTTGATGACATTGACATCCCCATCATGGGCAGTGGCTGTGGTGAGCATGCAGGCCTTGCCTGGGGCTGCTCGGATGTCCCAGATGCGAATGGAGGCATCAGCTGAGCAGGAGGCGAACACCTGAGTAGGGTGGAACAAGTCTGAGTGGGAAGGTGTGCCCCAAACAACCCAAAGACCATGGTACACTATCATCCGTTGTTCCCGTGTCTGAATCAGGCCCCAACGTGGGTCCCTCCTCTGCAAGCCAAGGGTTCAGGTTCCTAGCCTGTCCCCATCAGACCCCCATGTCCAGGCCTCCAGTCTTTCCTCACCGTGTCCTCAGTTGGTGACCACTGCAGATCTTCCACTGAGCGTGTGTGGCCCACAAATGGCCGCTGGTCCACATGCCAGGAGCCACCGTCCGTGGGCGTCCAGAGGTGGATGTTCTTCTGACAGTCACCAGTCACCAAACGGCCTGAGAAAGGGTTAGGAAACCACCTTACCCACCTGGCCCCTTCCTGCCGTCCCAGGAGTCCTACTGCCCACCCTCCCTGAAGCACAGGACAATCCAGACTCACCGGGTACTCGAGGAGACCAGTCAAGAGCAAAGCCCTCACCCATGTGGCCAGCAAAGGAGAAGATGGGCTTCACGCGGGCCTGCTCATCCCGGAGGAAAATGGCCAGGGCCTGGGGGTCGTCTACCACCTGTAGGAGCCGCCTCAGTGCAAACACCTCCACCTGGCCCTTCTCTGACCACACTCCAGCCACAGGTTCCTCCCCCAGCCAGGATACCTGCCAGGGGGTGCACAAAACAAAGAGAGAAGCCTAAAGTTGGCCAGCAGACCCCCAGAACCATAACCTCTGCATGTCTACAGACAAACTGGAGGCCCACACAGCTTTGTGGAAAGAAACTGCAACCTCCAAGACCAGATGGTGACGGGTCACCTCCTGGTGCTGGGAGGACCAGTCAGGAGTGAGGGTGAAGCCCCACGCCCCCACTGGTTCTAGAGTGTGCTAAAGGGCTCCAGGGCCTGGGCCTCAGGACCGCCCACCTCTATACTCACTACAGCTCCTCAGCCTGCCCAATTAGCACAGGCAGCATTAGCATTCCTCAGTCATCTCCACTGCGCTGGCTAGTTTAGGTCAGCTCGGCATAAACTAGAGCAATCTGAGAGAAGGGAGCTTCACTGAGAAAACGCCTCTATAAGATGGGGCTGCAGGCAGGAGGGCATTTACTTAACGAGTGACTGATGGGGGAGGGCCCAGCCCACTATGGGAGGGGCCATCCCTGGGCAGGTGGGCCTGGGCTCTGTAAGAAAGCAGGCTGGCCAGGCGGCGGTGGCACACCCCTTTAATCTGGCACTTGGGAGGCAGTCACAAGCAGATCTCTGAGTTCAAGGTCAACCTGGTCTACAGAGTGAGTACCAGGACAGCCAAAACTATGCATAGAAACCCTGTCTCAAACAAAACAAAACAGAAGAAAACAAACAAACAAAAAAAAAAAAAAAAAAGAAAAGAAAAGAAAGAAAGGAAGAAAGGAAGGAAGGAAGAAAGAAAGGAAGCAGGCTGAGCAAGCCATGAGGAGCAGCCAGTAAGCAGCTCCCCTGCATAGCTTCTGCATCGGCTCCTGCCTCTAGGTTCCTGCCCTGTTTGAGTTCCTGTCCTGACTTCCTTCAGTGATGAAGAGTGATGCGGAAGTGTAAGTCAAATAAACTCTTTCCTGTCCAAGTTGCCTTTGGATGTGGTGTTTTCCCACAGCAATAGTACCCTAACATTCACCTTGGGCCCTAACATTGAGACCCATGTTTGACTGTGTGTCTTCCTCACACCCAACACCTGTGCTGAAGCACCCTTCCAAATCCTTCTAATCACCTGTACTGTGGTCACACACGTCTCTACTGACGCCATCCTTCCCATGAGTTGCCCCTTTCAGAATCAAACACGCTTGGCTCCCTGAAGCCAGGTCTCTGCACAGAAGCCAGAGGGATTCTCTTCAAAAGTCCCAGGTGGCTCTTCCGTCCTCCACTTGTTCCTAACTTCTCCTGAGGGAGAAGCCCAAGTCCCCACACAAGGCCAGAACAACGGGTCTTCTGGGTGCTCCCTCCACATCTTGTCACCGCCTCTGTCCACCCTGCTCCACACACTGCCCTCTCCACTTCACCAAACTTCAGAACTTGCTGGGTCTCTATCCCAAGAGCACCTGCGGACCAATCCTCCTCAAGCGGCACCATTACAAAAGCCACTCCAGCCTAGGAACACACTTACCCTACTTTCAGTTTTTCTCCACCACACTCAGCATCTGTAACAAACTACATATTGACGAGTTTCTTCTTGTTCTGTCCCTCACTAGTATGTTAGTAGAGTCAGCTTTCTGTCTACAGGCTCAGTATCCTGAGATTAGGACAGTACCTGAGGCATAGAAATAATTGAACAGAAACAACAGGCCCAGCTGTGGGTCAAGTTTTGGGTCTAAGTGCTCTTGTACATCATCTCCTTTTATTTACTCATCTACCTGATCAGAAGAAGATGCTTTATTCATTGAACCTAGGCCCTAACACACTCGAGGTGAGCACTCTACCACTGAGTTACCTTTGAACTCATTCTGTAGCTTAGGCTGGCTTTTGATCCTTCTGCCTCAGTTCCTAAACAATAGGTAAGTAAAATCCTTACATTTCACACTATAACCAGGTGCTGTTTCAGCTCTTACACACTGTTTAGTTCCTTACCAGTCCTACCTGGTAAGCATCATAATTCTCAGCATTTTGCCTAAGGGGAAACTGAGTGATGATGATGACGATGATGATGATAGCAACAAGCAAAAAACCACTATAGTCTAAAACATTACCTCGTATATAACAACCATTATTCCCCTAAAGATAAGGAAAAAAAACAAACAAACAAAAAAACACTATGCACCAAACAAATCTGTGAAAGCTGAAGGGAACTGTTGGGTGTGGTGGCTCACGCCTGTTCTCTCAATCATTAGAAGCTGAGGCAGGGAAACCATCCTGAGTTTGAAGTCACCCTGGGCTACACAGTGAGAATATGTCTGAAGAACAAAAAAGAAAAAACTGAGGGGCAGGAGGAGGTACTGAGGGACATTTGAATGTTGGGGAACGGGGTATGCTGCACAAGCCCCTGGGAAGGCAAGTACCCGAACTCGGTTGATGCCACCATAGTGGGGAACCATGGCCAGATCCAGTTGAGGTTTCCGATCCTCTTCATCCTCCTCATCCTCCTCCTCTTCATCATCACTGCCCTCTGAGGGTGGCGGCCTCGTCCCATGGAGATTGTGCATTCGAAGCATCATCAGTCTGGGGAAGCAAAGGATGAATTAGGAACTGAATGCCAGGATGCTTAGGGCGGAAGGAGGCTGAGGACCCAGACTTTTAGGTCTGGCAGACGCGGATAGTCCTAACTCTTGGGTCCTTGAGGATGTCTTGAAAAAGTATGAATCTCAAGCCAATCGGTGGTGGCACATGCCTTTAATCCCAGCACTCGGGAGGCAGAGCCAGGCGGATCTCTGTGAGTTCGAGGCCAGCCTGGTCTCCAGAGCGAGATCCAGGACAGGCACCAAAACTACAGAGAAACCTTGTCTTGAAAAACAAAAAACAAAACAAAAAAAGTATGAATCTCACCTATTGCTCTGGGCGCTCTCAGCCTGGGTTCCCGCACACAGGAAAAGAGTGAGAGGGAGCTCTGTTCGGTTGTCGCCCAGGTCATCTCGGACTATGTCAAAGCTGAGACAAGGGGCGCCTGGGGTGGGGGGGAGGAGGTACAGTCGCAGTGAGGATGAGACATTGGGAACTCCGCTCCCACCTCCAACAACGGCCAGCAGTCCGCAAGGGGGTGTCAAAACCCTCAGACTCCAGACCCCTCGTCCCCCAGGCTCCAGGTCAGGAACTTCATTTCCCTGGACCCAAGAATCAGGCCCTCAGCCTACCAGTTTGCGCACGATGGTACAGCACGTAGGCCTCCTCATCCATTACCAGCTCCTCCCCTTCTGCCAGGGGCGGCCCCTTGCCAGGCAGGTAGACCTGCGGTGGGCTTTCGGACCCTGGGTCGCAGGATTCAGCCTCCATGGGTTCCCCAGTTTCACATGTGCGTTTCCGACCCTTGCGCGCCGCCATCTTCGAAGCTTCTTGTCCCGGACGCGAAGTAAGAGCGTCACTTCCGGTTTTCGCTTCCCACAGTCTAAGACCCACTGCACTGTTACCTGGGAAACCTGAGGGCTAGAAATAAGTAGTGGTGCGCTGAGAGATGGCCGCCCCAACTAACGGTGTCTGGCTCAGTGACAAAAGATAAATTAACAGCGATCGTGCCTTTCGTGCGACCTTGGCGAGTTCTTCCGCGCAGCAGAGGCAAGGCCTTCTGGGAGTTGTAGTTCTACAGGAGTCCTTGAATTCCGAGCCCCTGGGCATCTTCCACCTTTCATTCCTGGGGCTGTCTTTCCACTTAGTTAATTATTCATGTATGCAAACAAGCACTTACTGGCAAAGAGACTGGGCTTCTGTTCCCCGAGGACCTATAAGGCCGGTTTCTTCTCCTCTCCTTGTTATGATGGCTTTAAATTGTTTCAAAATGCTTTCGAGTAGACAGGCTGGACATTATGTATAAGTTAGTGGATTGAATCTGTCCTCTAGGGGCAGTCCATTTCCCAGCCAGGCATTCCCATGGCAGCTCTGGTCAGCAGGCACTTAATCAGAAAGTCTCTCTTGAGGCCGCTGCTACAACTGTGTCAACTCTCTTTATCCGCCCATGTGCACCCGAGTTTTGGTTAATTGGAATAATGAAATGTTGGAAATAGGTTCTCACTGGGGAGATTAAGGGTATTCAAGACGTGGGTTGGCCGCTTTCTTCATTTACATAAGATAACCCATCAAACCATTCTTGCCAGGAGCCTTAGGAACAGGACTCTAGATTTGGCCCTAATGTTCGCATCCCTTATTTTTACCACTCCTCTTAGGGTGTGTCTCTTCCCTGTCCCCTCCGCCCCTCTTTCCTCCGTCTCTTGCCACTCCCTGGGTTTTTATGGTGCCTTCCCCCATCTCCTGTTTCCTAGGACTTGGGGCGGAACTCAGGGTGCTATGAATGCTAGGAGCCACCGTTACACCAGCAGCCCAGTTTCTGTTGTCTGTTTTCCCCACGGACTTTTCTCAGATTCCATTTTCTCCCGAGAAGCTGAAGGGGCCTAAGAGACAGACATAGAGCTCAGGCTTGGACCGAGGAGGCGTAAAAACATGGTTTTATTCCAAACACTGCAGTGTAGTAGTGGGAGTGGGGAGGAAGGGTCCAGTGTGGGCTCCCAGACCCACCTCTCAATCCAGCCTCAGACCCTGCTGAGATCTGGGAAAGGAGGCCCGGGGGTGGAGTGTCTGCTGGATCATCACTGAAGGGTCATAAATAAGGGCTGGACTTGAAGATGTGGTCGGTGGCATCTGGGTTGGTAGTGGGGGAGGCAGGTGAAGGTAGGGCTTTCGTGGAGTATAGGTCATAGGTCAGAGACAACAAGGATCTAAAGGGAGGGGTCATCGAAGTCTGACGTAAGGGTCACAGTCTGGTCGGGGCACAGTCTGGGGTCAGATGATCATTTTAGGTGTTGGAAGTCACAGTCTGGGGTCAGGGGTTTCTGTGTGGCGGGGCCAAGGTCTGGAGTCACAGTTTGGCGTACTCGTCTCACAGTTTTGAGTCCTGATGAATGAAAGGTTAAAAACAGGCTCCCCGGGAGGTGTGGCTGGGGCCAGGGAGCTGCACAGTGATGTGAGGGCCATGGCCCCGAGAGTGGGCGCGGGGCGCGACGCGACCCCTCCCCATCTCCCGCCAAATCAGGTGACGTTAAAAAGCCCTTTTCGGGTTTAAAAAAAAGAGTCGGTGGCCTCCAAGAACCCCGCCCCCTTGCTCTCAGGATGGGTGAGATTTGGGCGACCAAGTCCCCTCTGGCTCATGGCTCCCCCAACGCGAGGGGGCGCAGAACGCTGCTCCAGGCGGGGTCCGGCCAGGTCCGTTTCCGTCCTTCCCAACCCCTGTGGGTCCTGTCCACTATAGAGCGCCCCCTCGGGCCGTGGCCTGCGCTGACCGAGAGGGCGGCGGGGGGGCCCCCGGAGCCGCGTCATACCTCGGACTCCAGGCTGGAGAAGTGCGCCGAGCCCCTGCGCGTGCCCAGGTCCCCGCCCCGGTGTCTCCGGTGCGGTGCAGTGGGCAGCTGCGGCCCCCAGTGCGCAGCGTGCGGGCAGCG